TCCCACTCCTCTGCCACGAGCTTCCTGCCGTGGACTGTCCCCTCGGACTGTGACCCCACATGAACCTCCTGCCGTGGACTGTCCCTTCAGACTGTGACTCCACACAGGCTTCTTGCTGTGGGCTGTCCCCTCGGACTGTGACCCCCACACGAGCCTCCTGCCATGAACTGTGTCCTCTGACTGCGACCCCACACAGGCTTCTTGCCGTGGACTGTCCCCTCGGACTGCGACCCCACACAGGCTTCCTCCTGTGTATTGTCCCTTCTGTCCCCACACAAGCCTCCTGTCGTGGACTGTCTCCTAGGATCCCAAACAAACCCTTCCTCTTTGGTTGCTTTTGTCAGTTGCTTTTACCAACAAGAAAAGGAACCAACATGGTTGATAGCACCAGCAGAATTTTGTAACAAGGTATTGCTGAAGTCCATGGAGCAGGTGAAAGAGACTTGCTGATTTTGTCAAAAATTCAATAGTGCATGGGGTTTCCTCTTCTTATTAACTTTTAGGTTGGGTTTTCGGTCACTTATGCCCCAAAGCATCCAACTACACCCTGGCCATCTCTCAGGAAAGAAATGAACTGAACATATAGGACACAGAACTTAGAATTTATTATAAAGATGAGAAAAAAAGTCACCATTATTAGCTCTAAACATTGGGCAAGCTTTTTAAAGCCAGTTCTTTAATTTCCTCAACTCTAAAGTTAAGATAAAGATACTATTGTGAAGATTAAATGATCCAGCACCTTCAAAGCACAGGATGAAGCACACACCTGTAGTACTTGGGAGGCAGATGGGAGGCTAGCCTGGGCTACATGGTGAGTGCCTGTCTCAAAGAGCCAAAGGGGTAGAGTGGGGGAAAACACCTATCTAAATACAATGTGTTATTCTAGATTAGAGTCTGAGATAGAAAAAATAAAGTCTGGGTCTCTGTTAACACCGGTACACATAACAGTGGGCCGTGGTTGTGCTAGAGGGCAGGGCGCTAGTGAAGGTGCCAAGGGGCCGCCCAGATGTAAATAATCACACAGAGACTATATTAATTACATCACTGGCTAATAGCTTATGCATATTTCTAGCTAACTCTTGCATAGAAATTAACCAGTTTTTATTAATCTGTGAATCACCATGAGGTTGTGGCCTGTGGCTGGCGTCTTTCTCCTCCTGCAGCTACATGGCATCTCTTTGACTCAGCCTATTTTCTCTCTATATCTCTGTTCAGATGTCCTGCCTGGCTTTACTCTACTAAGTTATTGTCCAAAACAGCTTCTTTAATAACCAATGGTAATAAAACATTTACTGCATACAGAGGGGAATCCCACATCACTTCAGGTTTTATTTTGCCTTCTAAATGTCTCGTTTATAAACTGACTTTACATTCTAAACACACATAGTACTTGAGTCTTTTTGGCTCACAGTGTGAGAAGGTACAGCCCATGGTGGGGAAGGCCAGTGGTTAAGGTCAATACCACCAGCTGGGGACCAAGTGTTCAAACATGTGAGCCCATGGGTACATTTTCATATCCAAGCTGCAGCGTTCTGCCTCTGGCCTCCATAGCCTCAAGGTCATCTCTTGAAAAATACACTCAACTCAACTTTTAAGATCCCTACAGTAGTTTTTGTTTTTCTCTCCACCCTGCCCTCCAAGACAGGGTTTCCCACACAGCCTTGGCTGACCTGAGACACATACACAGGGCTGGCCGTGAACTTTCAGTGGTCCTCCTACTGCTACTGAAATCACAGGTATGTGCCACTCACTACTCATTGGTAAAAGTCTCCAAAGTACGAACTCGAACACTGTTCAAAATCCCAAGTCTGTTTTGAGAGCCCTGCACTCTCCGCCCTATGGCCTGAAGCACACGTGCCTCTGTCTCTTGAGATAGCTCTATTTGGTGCCTGTAGCTTCGCCTGGCATCTCCACTGTCCTGGCATCTCTGCTGAAGCTTACCCTTCACCCGCACAGCTTCACGAATTGGCACTGCAGAACCATCCCTGCTACACACCACCCAGCTGCTTCTGTGGGATCAAGACACACTCTCCCTTAGCCCATCACTCTAGCAACCTGCAGACCTGCAGAACCAGCACCACGCAGATGACAAGTTCTCCTGAGTTTGACATGGCCTGGTGTTTTGGGCCACAATTGCAGTGGCCTTTAAGAACCTGTGCAGCTGAAGTAGGTAACAGATTTCTCAGTGGCCAGGCTGGAGCAAGGGTATTTTGAAGGCTGTTTTCTCAGGTATTCTTTCTAAATAGAAAATTTAAAAATGGGTTTATATTCTCATACTCTCATACCTTCCATTGGTGAAGCCTCACCCTCAAGACACCATTTCCACCATATCCATTGTTTCTCTAGTAATTACAGCTTTGCCTACAGCTGCCTTGTCTGCTACTGGGTTTGTGCTCCGTTTGAACAAAACTGCATGTTTCCCACATTGTTCTGCTTCTTCGCCCTTTGTCAATCTAACTAAAACAAGTGAGCAAAGGCCTTGCCACAGCCTAAATGCTATGCTGCCTTGGATGAAGCTCCCCAGACAACAATTTAGCCATTAACTTCAATTCACCAAGTCAGGACACGGCAACGTGGCCATGTTCTTCTCCAGCATGTCACATGAATGGCCTCTGGCTCAGTCCGGGCTAAGAGTCCTTGCTCCCCTGCGAAGCCTGGAGCTTGGCTGACCTTTCCTGTTCATCTTTTCACTTGCATTCTCTTCTGAAGTGTTTCCACAATGGCCAGCGAGGCTCTGCTTACACCCTGCAGCCCCAACCTGTTCACACTCCTGTCAACAAGTCCCACGGTCCTAAGTCACTAGATCATGGTCATCTCAGCAACAACCTCACCTCCTGGTGCCAACTTCCTGTACTTATTACTCACATGCTCTCATGATCAAAATACCCCTCAAGAAGCAACTCAAGGGAAGCAGTGCGTACTGGGCTCACTGCAGGAGCAGATTGGTCCATGGCGGCAGTTCACGTGGTGCTAGTGACTCCTTCACAATCTGGTGGATCAGGGAGCAGAGATTCTGACTCCATAGGATACCATCACAGCCTCAAGCCCTGCCTCTCAGTTTCCTCCAGCAAGGCCCCATTACACACAGGTTATACTACTTTCTAAAACACTACCATTACCCGGGGACCAATCATTCAAACACTTAAGCCTGAGGAGGGGAAATTTCACATCCAAACGCAAACAGGCACATTTCAAGACTGTACAAACATCAGCACTATCCACCCCCAGAACTTTTTCATCGTTTCAATTGGCAGCTTTGTAACCACCAGATAATAACCGCCTGGGCTACCCCATATCCTGGTAAAATGTCTACTCCAAAAGGACAGGTCTATCTGGCTACTTCACTACAGTTTTTTCAAGGACCATCTTTTATTGTATAATGTATCAGAACTTCAGCTGTTGGGTGTTTCCATGGATACAGCTCCCTTGTAGGCATACATCATGCACACCCAAAATCCATTCAGCTGATAACAGACAGCAGTTGCTGCCACCTTTTAGCCAATGCTCCTGCTGTGGGCATTGTGAACATTAAGTGAGTCCCTGCTCCAGGTATTTATTTAGACCTGCTGGGTTACATAGTAACACTGTTTAACTCTTCCCCAAAGTGCTGTTCTCCACGGTAGTTACAGCAGTGACTCACAGGCTCTTTTTTTTCCTACACCACTGCCAATCTTTTACTTTCCTTTTCTTTTAAGGTGGGGTTCGCCTAAGTTACCCAGGTTTGTCTCAAATCTCAAATTTCTGGGCTGGAACAATCCTCCTGCCTCAGAACCCTGAGAGCTAGGGCTGGCACACACCTCCACACAGATGGGAGATGGTACCTATTGTGGCACACACATTTCCCTTTCCACTGACTACTAGAAATAGATGCCAATTTTCCCTGTGTCTTCAAGGGGTACGTATGTTCTTATGCTGGAGTCTACTGACTTTCTTCATATGCTGCTAAATTTCTAAGCATTTCTCGACCACAGAGTGACTTTTATTTTCTGTCCTCTGTGACGATGTCTGAAAGCCACGTCCTTAGTATGGCTCCAGGACAGACCTGACTGGATGGTGAGGGAATGATGACAGGGGTAACCACAGACGAGCTGGAGTCCAGAGGACTGGTCCCTGGTGGAGAAACCTCAGCACCCTGCAAGCTCAGCATAATTATTATAGACAGCTGAGCAGAGAGGTGGGGTTGTCACATACAGATGAAGGAAGCATGGGCTATGACACACAGACAGATCAGGAACAGTCTCGGTAGGGAAGCCATCTGAGGCCATGAACAGCCGGAGGGAGAAGGCCATGGTGGATGTTTTCTGTACACACTATCAGCATCCACACTTGGGTCTGGAGGAGGAGTTTGACACTTCTGTAAGACGCGCACCACAGAGGAAGGAGCTTTGCCTTGTTCTTGTGGGTCTGAAGGTTTGGGGTCCTTGACAGGGTTGAGCCCATGTCAACTACCCGTTCACTCAGACCTCACTCATTCTAGTCCTCCTCAGCTTCCCATACCTGGAGATATTTTGCCTCCATTGAAGGCATGGGTGCTACTGGCATCCATAGGGTAGAGGCTATGATACTGCAAACATCTTACAGTATGCAGGATGTCCTGCAACAAAATCAGAATCCAAATGCTAACAGTTCCGGTAGAGAAGTCTGGATTATAACTCTTGTAAACTTCATGTATCCTCATGAAGTGCCGGACAGTGCATGGCTGCTTCTGATGCCCTCAATAACCTAAGTTACAGTTGTGATGAAAATGCTGCCACTGATAATTAAAACAAATACCATGTTCAGGAAGGAAACAAGTCTAGACATCTGGCTGTTTCTGAAACTGAAAATATCTCCTGGATGTCAAACTCATAGAGACTGTGTGGTACTCTGTATGTAGAGCAGGGGCTTGTGACCCCCACTGAGGAAACACAGACCTCAGCACCGCCAGTCTTCTCTGTGGCAATGTTCTTCAGTAGTACTTTGACACCCCTTCCCTCTCAATAATTTAAGGAAATAAAGTCTTGCAAAATGAGAAATTTTAATTATTTAAAGCAAAGGCACAAGTAAACATTTAGGTTATCATACAGTGTTACAATAAAAAACCCAAGGGTACAATGAAGTACATTTATAACTGTGCATGTCCAATGTATTACTGTGTTGTCTCTTCTCTGAAGCGAAGAGCTATGCAGATCTATGGGTGTGCTGTAAAAAATCTGGGTTTTAAATAGCATCTACCCTATCTCCAACCAGAAATTTTAACTAATTTTAGAATTAAAAAGAAATTAATTTTAAATTATAATTGTTTGTTAATCTAGAGCAGCAAAAACTCTCAGGCTAAAACTCACTGCTTAGTAAGGAAACTGATTCTACAAGGTCAGCCATGGGTGTCTTGGTGCTGTGTAATAGCCACACTTGCCACAAAACATAATCGATATCCTTAATTTTTAAAAATTTGAATATTATAGTGCATTATGCAAACAACGAATGAGGAACCAATGACCTCTTACGACGCCAGGAATATTATATACTTCAAAAGCAGCAGACATTATTTTCAGTCAAAGGCACTGCCTGGAAATGAACAAGTTGCACTGTGCTCAGGGATGGGAAAGGTTTCTTCAACATAAATAGCCAGTCAGTTGGAATATGATGTTTCAGTCAGCAAGTGCTGAGTGGCTGCCAACTGGCCAAGCAAAATAAAGACGAACCAAAACAAACAATCCAAATAACAAGAACCAGAGTAGAAGTTGTGTCAAACAAAATCTTTGGTCTCATTTTCCATAAAGAAAATGTATATGCTGATTTTGAAGACGCCAGACCTGGCTGTGGCTCAGGGGTAGAGAGCTTGCCCACCGTGTGTAAGTCCTGGGATTCCATCCCCAGCAGTGGGGAAAGAGTCCTTTCAATGTGTCACCTGGAGTGGGAAGGGAGGGTCACTGTCCCAAGAGAGCAAGGTTTCCCATCACCTGTCATCCTATTTGTTCCCATAAAACGTCTTTCAATTCTTCAAGACATAAAGTTCATCAGTAGAGACACAGTCTAATGCTTCAAAGTGTTGAACAATATACTTACATTAATTTGGACGAAATGGAGTCAGATCAGGGCACAGTATCCTACTGGACGCTAAAACCCAGAAGGATTTATATCTAAGGTCTACGTGAATTAAAAGATAACATCTTACTGTGTTCCCCAGGCCGGTCCCGAGCAGCGGGGACCACAGATCTGCACCACTGCGTCTGTCTGGACTCAAAGCTCTGGAGAGGACATTGCTTCTAATTTTCCACTGTACAAATCACAAGAGCATCAATGAATTAAGGTTTAATGACCAGGGTTCTTTTACACCTAGTTCCAAACCAGAGAGGGTACTGGGAAATTCTCTGAGCTTGTCCATCTTTTGGTGGGGCTTGGAATTGAACACAGGGTTTTGGGCATTTTAGGTAAATACTCTAACTTCCAGGCTACACTTCTAGTCCCACTGAGGTTTCTTGATAAGGGGGTCAAGATAAAAAAGGAGGGCTATAACTCCTCTTATGCCACTCTTGGGCTAACAGTAGTCAAGTCTCTGTCAGGTACTCTCAGAAACTTGACTACTGGTGCCGATGAACACCCAACAGGAGATTCTTAGGAAACAGATTGAAAGGAAAATTATTGATGTAACATTGCCAGAGAAAAGGGAACCGGAAAACTTGTTAGCTAGACCTCTAGAAGTCTAGAGAGAGAGATCTGAATTAATATCTTAGCTCTGTTAAATAACTAGCTTGTAATTACAGGTAAATTAAATACTAAAATTTAGTGGGTGTTCTGAAAACAGAAGGCATGTTTCCAGTCCTGTCTGGGAAAGCTTAGCCCATGATGCAGCATAAGGCTGCATCATATAGCATAAGGCTGCATCATATAGCTTTAGAAAGTAAACTACTTGTTTCTTCTACTCCATTTTATAAAATATTTTTCTTTGCGTATGCAACACTCTGTGCAAAAATGTACTTCCAAACACACTACATTCTATCTTCCTCTATGGCTCAGGCTACTAAAAACTGAGGGTGGAAAACACCCAGTCAACACAGGCCAGCAGCCTCTCCACAGGTGAGTATCGTTTCTCAATTTACAAATAACAAGCGTTCAGTTTTCTAGAGAAAAAGTCTAAATAATACAAAGAAACGACTAGGAAGAAAGGGTTCTTATGGCTTTACCTGTCAATCAGAAACTAGAGGATTTAAATACTCAGATTCCCCCCCAGAATATTTGCTGTGCATCTTGGAACTTATTCTAGTGTAAATTACATTAAATAGATTGGCATGAACTAGCATGTGCTATAACCTCTTTGATGGCGGAGTTTATTAGTCACGGATGGAGTCAAGGACTTCACCAGTAGTGTTTGAACAGCGGTCAGCCAGGATCCGCTGAGTACAGGCTACCACAGCTGCTCCAACAGTAGTGTCTGGTCCGTGTTTAGTTTCTTTACCCTGCTATTTACAGAAGTCCTGTTAGAATGCTGGCAACGGTCACTGTCAACGCTTGCTCCTCGTGTAAAAGGATGTCCAATGCCGGGCGATACGGATTTATAAATATGTACAAATAATATATCTGCAGCTAGCCTGCTACTATTTTGACACACAGAAGTATGATACACATAAAATGTAGAAACTAAAACAAAAAACTTTCAGAACAGACGATGATTACTTTGTGTTTAGAAATTATACAGAAAAAAAGCTGTGTTTGACAATCTTCAATGACCTACTAAGAGAGCTACAATTTTAGTGAAGAAAAAATATCCTCAAAACACAAGTTGAAGAACCTCTGTGTTTTGGCTGGATGTCTAGGGGAGCCCCCTTGGAAACAGAATGAGGACACCAATGCGTGCTGTGATCAGTGAGGATAGAATATTGCACAAGAGCAGTTTTGTTTAAAGAAAATCCAATTTCCCACAGTTCTGAATTTTAAAATGGTTCTTACATTTAGACATAGCAGTATTTTCTAAATATGAAAAATTAATATTCTGTAATACTGTTACAACTCCATTTACCAATTAGCATACTCCAGTCTACTGTGGCAATGGAAATTCAGCGAACATTTGGCAGTCATGTGAGGCTGTAAAAACAGACACATATACACACACAGGACAGAGGGCGGCCCCATCTTGTCTCAGGCTGTCACAGTGATGTCAGACCGTGGTGGAGTAGGACTCTCTCTGTGGGGGCTGCGTTCCCGGCACAGCGCTGTCTTCCGCTTCGCTCTCACTGCCGTCTGCCAAAGCCGGATCCAGAGACACGGAGCCAGACTTTCCACGCAAAGGAAACACAAGGCCACTTTCCTGTAAGGAACCATCCACGAACTCTTCGTCTGAGGAGGGGAAGGACTCATCCTCTCCTATCAAATGGCTGACGATGTGGACTCCGTCAAACGGTGGCTGGCTGGAGAAGTTCCTCTGGCCTTTTAGGCACCTGAGCTGTTGAAAACAAAATCCAGATTACTGGATAGAGTCAAACCAAGACAAACACAACTTTCCCAAGAAAAAGCATATAATTGTGATCAAGAAAGACAATACTTTGATCTATTTACTTAAAGACACAATGATTTTGAATGCTTCCTAACATTCTGACTCCGACAACTTTATATGCTAGATTTTACTATTCTTGTTCTACTGATTAGGAAATGGAACCTGGGAGGAACCTGCTGAGGTTTCCCAGTCAATAGCAGTTTCAATTACCAAACATTTACTGTACTGAAGGTAAGGAACTCCATGTATACATCATCTGATTTCTACACATCACAGACAGCCAGGCTGCATTATAAATTATACCATTCTGTCCTTGGCTTATTGTGAGGTAAAGCAGACAGCCCATCAGTTCACCTGCGTATCAGCTGTACTGATAGGAGCTACGAACCTCAAGACCACACTCTTGACTAGTACGCACACCATCTTGAAAGCATGTTACCATAACTCTGTAAATGATAAAACTGAGTCAGAAATTATTAAATTTTTGAGTCTTGGAGCTGGGGCTACCTCAGTTGGCTGAGTGGTTCCCCAGCATACACAAAGCTGTGTGTTCTATCCCCACACCTCATAAACCAGGCTTGGTGGTTCACCTCATGATCGTGGCACTGGGAGGTGGGGCAGGAGTAGTAGGGGTTAATGCTATTCTCAGCTACAACAAGCTTGAGGCCAGTCTGGAGTGTGAGACGTCTCCAACTCCGAAAGCCCAGCCTGTGTATCAGCTCTGCTCGAAGGAATGACTGCTTCTCAGGGGTTAGCTCTTCTCCCTTCCAGACCTATGTTCTCTTCCTAGAGATTTTCAGGACTGAGAAGGTAAAAAGCTGTCTGTAGTTTCTATGGATTGGGTCTAAGTCTTGAGTTTAGAGTCAGAAAATTGTTAGCTCTTCTGACCCTAAACTATACTCTCCAAAAGCACCTGCCTTTATCAGGTCAGACGCTGCTCTGCTTAAATCCCATCAAACCCCCCCCCCCCCAGCACAAACACCCTACTGTGCAGACACCTCTCCTGTCCTTGAGAATTTATGCTGCAGATATAATGCTAATTTTGACATTCTTTCACTTGTCCTGTATACTGTATCTTTTTTCCCTATTAAAAAAAAAAGCAGAATTAAGAACAGAAAAAAAAAACAATTAATTAGCCATCAAATACCTCAAGGGCACGCTACGATACACTTCACGCCCCTACCCTCAACACTCCTACCAGCCTTTATCCTCGTTCTCCGTGACAAACTCCTAGTCACTATCTTTCAAATCTTGAGATAAAGGCAACACGAAATGGGCAGGAAACGTTACAAACACTTTCAAAACTAACGGTTCTGAGAGAAAAGCCGTGGCAGCCTCGCCACCCTGCCTCCCAGCTTTCCTGACAAGACTTCCAGGAAGAAATGAAGACACATTAGCAGGAACCAGGGGTCCCAGGTTCGGTGTAGCCATTACCTGGTCCCTGCCCTCACCAAGAGAAGAAGAATATACAGGAGAGGGACAATGAAACTCAAGTAACGTGTGGCCCCTTGGCGTAACAGAGGGAACCTAACTAAACTCAGCACCAAATCTTCAGCAGAAAGGTACAGAGTATCACAACTCCTCAGGGTGTGCGACCCGAGGCCATATCACAACCGCCATGCTCTGATGCAACATCCCATCGCCATTTTGCAACACATGATTTATAGCTGTGATGCTGAGTTCAGTCAGTTAATCTCTTCCTTTCCCTCTTCTTCCCCAGATCCCTCTGAGGACATACTATGGAGCACGTGTCTCCCTTCTTCCTGGCTGTTACAGACGAGGGGCGCGGCAGAAGAACCACAACTTCCCAGTTGTTTGGAAAGCTGTGGTTTTCCTTTGCTCTAACAAAATGTAAACTACAGAAAATTAACTATGGGCTGAGGACTCAGTTTCTTAAAATGAAAGGTGATATCTACTGCCTCTGGATGCTGCTGACACAACAAAGCAGAGCCATGTTTTGGTTGCACAAAGAAACAAAGAAAGGTAAGGGAAAGTGTCCTAGGACTGAAGCTGCCCTCACCTATCTCTGGACTAAGAAATGGGCACACTGGGTTATTATGAAGAAGGCCCCAGTGGGGACTGTTAAGTGGGCCCCGGAGCAGGGAATCCTGGGGTATTGAGTTTACTTTCAAAAGGGCTGCATATGCACAAATCTAATTGGAGGCCTTCTGCAGTACAGAGGCCCTGGTCTTCTGTTGTAAACACAGTACTTGTGACCATCTTCATCAGACTCTCAGTAGCTAACTATATTTCATAGACCATCACCCTTCCCAAGAAAATGATCTTTAGTGTTTGATAGAAAGGGAGACCCCCCTCCCATCTAAGGAACTAAAATCCTGAAATCCGTGTTTTCCCTGCAAATGTCCCAGCAGAGCCTGACATGTTCAAGGTGTGAGAATGGCTGTAGAGATCTGGAGGCGGGGTTCACTCTTCTTGTCGACTCTAGAGGAAGTCCTGGGTGCCCTGGCTGACACCTCATTGGGCACCACCTTGCAGAGCACAGGCAGGCTGTGGTGAGCTAACCATCCCTTGGAGGTGGGTCCCACAGCATTCTGTTTAAAGCAGCTATGGCTGTCTCCGTTGTGGACACAGGCAGGGCTTGGGGATGAATGTCCAAGTGAATAACTGCTGATGCTCACCTTAAGCTAAACACTGATGCTCTTAGCCACAGTTGATGGATAGATATTCTTCAGATTTTTCAAAGACTACAGAATCTGGCATTTAAAATGTTTTAAGAACTTAGGACTTTTTCATGACAATGAGACACATCTGCTCCTGGCAGCACCAATTACTTCAAGAGGAAGATGGGCATTGAAGAGTCTCCTTATGGAGTTTGTTAGCCATTAGGGCAAGAAACTGCTCTTGCCTGGACTGCTTGATGGTATGTGGTATGAACTGGACATGCAGGACCCAGAAAAATGACTGCTGAAGTTTCCTAAAGAAGGTGAGACAGTCCTTCAGGTTCCTGCTTCATCTTCTGCAGGACACAGAAGAAAGTGACTGACAAACTGCCAATATAGGTGGAACTGTCTTTGAAATTTCCTGCTTCATGGAAAAGTCTCCTGGATACTATGAGCCTCTAGGCTGAAGATTACAGAAGAACGTTGGGTGACTGTCCAGGCAGTGAGATGTCTCTGTCAATTCTAGAGTTTTGGAAGTTGCTTACAATGCACCTCTTGTTTACTTAGGTAATATTATATCCTTCTGGAGTCTTTGGTGGAGTCGAAGAATAGACAGTTATAGTTTTCCTTAGTTATGATAAAATGTAGATATAAATATTGCAATTGTAATTCTCACTTGATACCTGTTTTATGTAATTTTACTATGCTAAAGTTAAAAACCTTCCTTTTTATTTAAACAGAAAAGGGGAAATGGTGTGGGAAGTCCTGTATATGTGTTGCTTCTATTGATTAATAAAGAAGCTGCGTTCGGCCAATGGCTTAACAGAATATAGCCATGCGGGAAAGATATAAATAGAGAGAGAGAGAGCAGGTGGAGTCAAGGATATGCCATGTAGCTGCCAGAGGGGAAAGACGCAAGCTGTCAGTTGGAACCTTGCTGGTAGACCACAAACCTCATAGTGAAATATAAAATAATAGAAATGGGGTTAATTCTAGATGTAAGAGCTAGCTAGCAATATGCTTAAGCTAATAGGCCAAGCAGTGATTTAATTAATACAGTTTCTGTGTTGTTATTTCGGGTCTGAGCTGCAGGAACAAACAAGTGGCTTCCTACTACAGGAGAGTAGAGAGTCCAGTGAGATTTGCTATGAAAAGAGCCACATGGTGGCTTACAACCACCTATAATGAGATCTGTTGCCTTCTTCTGGCCTACAGGCAGGATACTGTATAAATAAACAAAAAAATAAATAAATCATTAAAAAAATAGAAAGCTTAAGAAACACATACAAACACAAAATCAGAAGCCATAATAAACAAGCAAAAGATCACTAGACAAAAAAAGTCCAAACAAATCAAATGAGACAAGAAGTCTACAAAAATTCCACTGAGTTCATTTTGTTCTGGCCACCAACAGCTGGGCAAGCACCCTTAAGTGTGGCTAATCTTCCCAGTGAGAATCCTCTGAGGTAGCGACATCAGGCTGCCTCCTGGGAGGGGTGGAAGCTTATGTCCACCTCCCTCCTCTAAGGGACCCTGTCTGGTTGGACCTGTGCGTATTCCTCAGTCTTAAAAGTGGTACAGTCAAATGTAAAGTCAACATCTAAGAGAAGCAGGACAAAAAAGCAACATGGGGAAGGCCACTATCTGGTGAAAAGACAGCTACACACCTATAGCATACTGAATAGTCATTTCATTCTTGTGAGGACACGATCTACTTAAAAAGAAGCTGCCAGGTAACTGCCAAAATGGACTGTATACGCCTTTAGTTTTATTATAAAATTATAAACTTACTATATAAATAAACAAAAGACAAGTTAGAAAAGAAAGCAATTCATGTTCCATAATCCGGAGACAAATAGTAACACTGTACCTTATCTTTTGAACTAAGTCACTGCATGCAGGACCTGACAGCCTGCTCCCCTCTTGCTAGCAAACCTCCACACTCCTGGTCTCATCTTCGGTGGTTGAGTGGTACCTCATTTAGGAGAGCATCACGATCCCCCTAACCAATCCTCCTACTGGGGAATTTCGAACCTTTCTCCCAACTCTAAGGAGCCACAAGGACTTCTGAGCACACACCTCTCAGAGCCTGGTTTGTTCTTTATAACTTCTATCGAGAGGTATGAAATCCAGCACAATGGTTCTATCATTCTTAAGAAGAGTTCAAGGCCGGGCGGTGGTGGCGCACGCCTTTAATCCCAGCACTTGGGAGGCAGAGGCAGGAGGATCTCTGTGAGTTCGATGCCAGCCTGGTCTGCAAAGGGAGTTCCAGAACAGGCTCCAAAGCTACAGAGAAACCCTGTCTCGAAAAACCAAAAAAAAAAAAAA